GTCCCCAAGCAGTTCTCTCTCCCACTTGCTCTCGCAGCCTCAGCCATTTGATATTCTGTTTCATTATAGTAGTTAAATCAGTCACACATCAGTCACTGTGACAAAACCAAAACCAAAGATAAGTCGATCTGCTCAGCTTGTTCCACTCTGTAGTTAGCTGACCATTGCCCACCTGCTTTCCCCTCACTGCCCACCTTGTACCTATGTCCAAAGTTGCTGGATGGCTGATTTACCTCTTCCTGGTTGCAGATCAGGCCATTGAGAAGGGCAGAGCTTTTCAAAAAGAACTTTACTTTGGAGAAATAATGCAAGGCCAAAAGCAATAAGTTCTAGACCATAGCTGCCTGATCCTGAGGTGGAGGGCCTGCTCAGTCAGACACCTGCGCTTCTCCCTGGGAAGCTCCAAGCCCCTCACAGCGATCTTGTCATCTCCTCTTATTCTTTTTAAGGTTCCTGCTTTTCCATCTTTCCTTCAGAGGGACCTGAATGGGAGGCCTTCTGTGCCCCACGATCACCCCATGGATCACCCCATCACTTTAACCTAAAGCCCACTGTTGGTGAAGACTGGCCATGGAGGTGTGTGCTTCTGGGCACAGCCTGCTCATTCAGTGCGACAGCTCTAACTGGGAATATGTCACATCATTTTTATTAAAAAGCACAAATATTGGCCTTTGCTTTACTTTGTAAAGAGCAAATATCAGAAAAGTGGCCCATGGGAAAGACTGGGTGTGTAATCATTGGGGAGGGGCCTCCAGCCCTTCCTGCATCTCACAAATGACCACATCCTCTACGCCCTTAAAAATGTTCAGATACACAACTAACATTTATTATGTTCCTACTGCATCCCAGGCATTGTGGGGAAAATGGCTTTTTTTTTTTTTTTTTTTCGCAGTTTTTGGCCAGGGCCGGGTTTGAACCCACAACCTCCAGTATATGGGGCCAGCGCCCAACTCTTTTGAACCACAGTTGCTGTCCCTCTGTCTCTTTCCTCAGAGAGCATTGTCTCCAGCAGGGGACTCCATGACTACAATTAAGTTCCATTACCTTAGAGAGAGTCTCAGGATGTGCCAAAAACATAGACGTTCTACTGTTTAGAAGCTGTGTGTTTCTTTGAGCTTCTTTCATTTTTCAACTCTAAGTTATAGCTAATAGTACCCAGGCCAAGGGGATGCTGTGAGGATCACATGAGAAGTCCCCGTAAAGATGCACACAGGAGGAGATACTGGGCGTGATGGGGAGACCGGCAGCCCTGTCTTCTCACAGCTGGGCTTCTCGGGCTTTAACACGCATCGGATTGCCTGAGAATCTTATTAAAATTCAGACTCTGGTTCTGTAGGCTATGGGTGGGGCCCAAGATCTTGAATTTCTAACAAGTGCCAGGTGACTTTGTAATATTTCTCAAGGGAATAGACTGTCATTAGCAAGGTCTCAGAAACTATTCTGGTTTTGTTTGTATCTTTGAGAAACTGATGCTGGAGGTGAATCTTAAAAAATGGGCAGATGCCATCCAAAAGGACAATAAGGAAAGAAGAGCACTCCAGGAGGGCGAGTGGAAATCGGGCTGGCAATATACGATTTGCCAAGCAGTGTCAGTGGAAGGACATCGGGGGAAGCTGCACTGCTGAGGTGAAAGATGGATGAGGGTTAGGAAGCAGAGATGGTCAGTGGAGAATACTCCTTCTATAAACCTGGCCATGATAAGGAAATTTTACTATCTAGTAGCCAGAAATGTTCCCAAGTTTGAGATTTCATTTAACTGGTTGATTAATTAATTCACTTATTCATTCATTTGTTGTTCTGAGCACATTATGGCTGCTGGGAAAGATGAGTAAAGAGAAAACATTTGGTCAGGGTGGGTGGCACCTGTGGCTCAGTGGGTAAGGCGCTGGCCCCGTGTACCAAGAGTGGTGGGTTCAAACCCGGCACTGGCCAAACAGCAACAAAAAAATAGCCTGGCGTTGTGGCAGGTGCCTGTAGTCCCAGCTACTTGGTAGGCTGAGGCAAGAGAATTGCCTAAGCCCAGGAGTTGGAGGTTGCTGTGAGCTGTGACACTACGGCACTCTACCAAAGGCAACAAAGAGAGACTCTGTCTCTACAAAAAAAAAAAAAAAATTGGTCAGGGCAGTGACTCAGAGATGAGGCTCAGGAGAAGCAGCTTACATGTTTGAGTCTGTGGAAATAAGGTGAGGAAGGCATAGACAGGCCCCAGACACTGGAGTGGCTGTCCACACTTGATAGCTCCTGTTTACACTGTGAAAGGCAGGACTGTTGGCTGGGCACCAAAATGTGCGGCTGTGCCTGGAGATCAACCAGAAGGCCTGTCCTCAGACCTGAGTGGTTTTCTGCAGCAGCTGTTGTCCCTCTGCTCAAGATTGTCCCAAACCTTATCCAGTTTGTGTTTCTCGGGTGGAGCGTCCTCTGACATACCAAAGGTGGGATGGCCTTCCCTCTGCACTCCACCCATCTGGGTTTCCAGGTGACAAGAGGAGGTGAAGACAGAAGGATGACTATTTGTGCACATGGCACGTCACACTCACCAAAAGTGACACATCTGTAGGCCGGTCAGAGAAATATCCCAAGGTTTCAGAATGAAAATTTTGAAAAGTGCAACTTTTATCCATACAGAAATATTACTTAGTGCATTTTAGCTGCAATTTTAGCTAAATCCAAATAGCTTTATGTGCCAAAATTCTTGTGTTTACTTTACCTAATAATTATGAGTTCTCAACGGCTTACTCTAGTTCTCAGCTAAAAATCATTCGACAGTTAACCAACTTAATATAGAAGACTAGTGGTTATGGTGAGTACCGGGGACCAGACACAGGTTTTAGTTTGGGCTTTAATCAGACGTCTCTGCTGGATTCTGCATGTCAACTGGGAGAAGCCAGCTCATCAACCCTCGAGCTGAAAGGAAGAGGGGATGGGGGGCAGAAACACAGTTTTGAAAATGAAAGTTCTAATTCTATTTTGAGTTGCATCACTGGTAGAAAACATTATTTCAAATATTTTTGGATGAATTGAAACTGTAATAACCAATTCTCAACTTCACTACTTCAATATGTATTTTGTTGACTAATTCAAGCGTCCCCTCTGCTATATTTTCCCAACTTCTTTCCAAACATATGTGTCAGATAGTAAGCACTTCAGTTATTTCAATAAACACAGGCATCCAGTTCCTTAGGCGTCTCCAGAATTTGCCAGAAATACACACTGTGGAGCTGCTCTGTTACCATGGGAGAAGCAGCTGGAGGCTGGCGCTCCAGTAAACAGCTGAGGAAGTGGTCGTGCAATAGTCTGGTTCCATCTCCAGATCACCCTCTGTAACACTCTTTACTCCCTGACAAATAACTACATCCAACATGTTGAAGCACATCCAAGAATGTATTCAGGATAATTACAAAGGGCATGGTCAGTCATTATACAGAGCATATTTAAAAGAACAAAAACTACTTAATATAGAACTTGAGGAAGCATGAGTGTGCATCAGCACACTTTCTTATGCAAGTGAGGGGGCCAGTTCAAAATGGCTTAAGGAAAAAGCAGAGGTGTTGGTTCAGATAATTCACTGTCCAGTTGAGGGTCCTGGATTAGGACACAGCTGGGACTAGAGCTCAAACTGTGTCATCAGAACCTTGTCTTTCTTTCTTCCTCTCTTGGAACAACTCTGCTCTGTGTTGACCCTCTCAGCCGTCCTTCCTTCTTGCAGGGACAGTATCATGCACTGCTCCTACCCCTGCAGAACTCTACTGAAAAAGGAAACGCCCACTATTTTCAACAGAAGCCCTGGACTCATGGCCTCTGAATGGCTTAGCTTCAGCCAAGTTCCCATCTGCATCCCTGGATATTAGATGAGTCTCCAAGGGAAAAAAATTAAAAAACCTCTGAGCTGTTCTCACAAGAAGGGGAGTGAATGCCAGGGTGCCCTGCACAGCCTTCGTGTACATGGTAGGCTGAACATGGGCCAGGAGCTGAATTCTTGTGAGGTTTCAAGAAGAAGACTCCTCCTGAATGAACTTTACCTGAGAGGAATTTCAGCTCACTGCCAAAAAGGGCCTTGCAGAGGACCATCCACAGCTCAGATGGGATGTAGTAAGGACCAGGTCCTTTCCTGAGGTCAGGGCCAGGCAGACAGGCAGCTGTCAGAAACGCCAACAAGGAATTCTTGTGTTAAGCAGAGCTTTGCCTACATGACCTACAAGGTCACTTTTGACTCGACAATTCTATTATCCTTGTTAATTTTCACAATTTAATTTGCAGTACAGGATAAACAAACCAACCTAATTTGATCTGGAACTTCTGCAGGCTATCATAGGTCATTTAATCTAAAACATATGGCTGTAGCCATGATATGCTTTCTGAAGTCATCTGACAGACCTTGTCCTGAACGAGGTCTTCATGGTATTAGTTTCACGCGTGGCTTTTTCTAGCTTCCTGCCTACTCCACAGTTGTCTTTCATTTTCCTTTAGACTGGGGTGATAGGAGCATGAGAAAGTTTTCTTCTTTCTGACTTTCTCCTCTGAAATCTTGCAGTAAGAGAGTCCCTATTAAAATTACGTTACTTATGTCCTCACCTCTCAATTTGGCTTTCATTTTCAGGCTTGAGAGTCTATGAGAAATGGGGGACAAGGCCATAGACAGTCACAGTTCTGGACTAGTTAGGCAAACAAACTAGAAGAGTGAGGTCTTTACATTTTATGTTAAAAATTAAATGAATTTTATAAATTGCAACATTGTTAGAACTAGAGTACCAGACCACATGGGCCTTACTCTTATGAAATAGATGCATCTGCATTAAGGTAGCATATTTTAGCAGACTTACTGCACACTTCACATATATTTAAACAGCAGATACTCTCTTGGCTGACAGCATTCCCCACCATCCTACACACACAAACTCTGCTCTGCTTCCATATTACAGAATCTAGCCCACAAATTAAAGTTTGCTTTTGCCAAGATATGTCCATCTTTAATAACTGATGACATCTCTTGTCTTTTCCAGTGAATGTTGTGTCAATGTTACAGGAATTCTGGGAGGGCAAGCAGCAGCAGAAGACTGCATTCCCCAGTGACAGCCTCGTGCTCTACGAGTCACTGCCAGCACCTGGGCCTCCCTTTGTGAGTTACGTGACCCTCCCAGGAGGAAGCTGTTTTGGCAACTTTCAGGTAAGAAGCTGCCATCAATTTATCAGTGAGAGTTAATTGGATTAAAATAGAATAAACCTTTTTACCAAATGGTTACATTATAAGTTTCCTTGGAACAAAGTTGTGCCATATTACATAATACACACTAGAAAATTAGTCAGACATCCCAATTTAAAAAATGGAAATATTTATATTAGCGTATTCCCTGGTATTTCTTCACTGAAAACAAATTCTATAGCACTTTTTTTTATTTGCCAGATAGCTGCTTTCTGCTCCTCAGAATATTATGGAATAGGATGTACAGACCAGGGGAATGGTGTTAAAACATTTTTATCCAGATCCTTCCATCAGGGCTCTCCCATCAGTAAAAATTCTCTATAGTTGTGAATTTAATAATCAAACGCATATAGAAAAATAATCAAATACGTGTATTAAACAATCTGCTATATACCAAAGCATGACCCAATACAAAGAATTGAAAAACAGAGGACTGGGCTCAAGCACCTGTGCTAAGGTGAAGTCCTGCTTCTGACTCCCTGTCCATCCTTGGGCAACTTATTTAACTTTACACTTTCCTCAGCTTTGAGATGGGGAATAATATCCATGACGTTGGTTGGAAGCCATACAAAGTATACATACAATGTATGTAACATGGTGTCTGGTACACAGGTGTTTAGTAGGTATTCTAAGTATTGTTGGTGCAATTTCTTTGTATTTCAGAATATTTGGGGGTTACAAATGTCTTGGTTACATGAATTGCTTTTGTACAGTTTGAATCAAAGTAAAAGTGTGCCCCTCGTTGGCTCAGCCACCTGCTTGATTTCCATTGAGTTTTACTATCAAATGTGCATATGGGTATTGATTGATTAGTTACAATTTAATATTGAGCACACATGGTGTTTTTTTTCCATTCTTGTGAAACTTCGTTTAGAAGGATACTCTCCAGTTCCATCCAAGTTGTTATAAAAGGCATCAGTTCATCTTTTCTTTTTTCTTATGGCTGAGTAGTGCTCCAAGGTTTTTACATATCACATTTCATTAATCCACTCATGCACTTGAGCTGGTTCCACATCTTTATGGTTGTGAATTGTGTTGCAATAGGCATTCGAGTGCAGGTGTCTTTTTGATAAAGTGACATTTTTTCCTTTGGATAAATACCCAATAGTGGGATTTCAGGGTCAAATGGTGGGTCAACTTTTCATTCTTGGAGGTGTCTCCATATTTCTCCACAGAGGTTGTACTACTGTGCAGCCCACCAACAGGGTATTAAATGCTTCTTTCTCTCCAGGTCCATGACAGCATCTGTTGTTTTTTGGGGGGTTGATAAAAGTCATTCTCACTGGAGTTAGGGTTACCTTGTTGTGGTTTTGATTTGACTTTCCCTGGTGATTAGAGATGTTGAGCATTTTCTCATGTGTTTATTGGCCATTAGTCTATCTTCTTTTGAAATCTTCTGTTCATGTCTTTTGCCCCATTTTTTATGGGCTTGTGTAAGTTTTCTTCCTGATTTTCTTGAGTTCCTTATAGATTCTGGTTATTAGCCACTAGGGTGTATAGCATGCAAATATTTTCTCCCTTTCTGTAGGTTGTATATTCTCTCTATTTTATTTATTTATTTATTTATTTGCTGAACAGAAGCTTAGCTTTTTTATTTGATCAGGTCTTATTTTTGTTTTTATTGTGGTTATTTTTTGTTTTTTTTCATAAATTCTTTAGGCTGATGTCTACAGACATAAGAGTTTTTCCAACATTTTATTCCAGAAGTCTGATTTTATGCCATAGGTTTAAGTGAGCTATCCATTGTGAGTGGTAAGAGGTGCACATCCTGTTTCAATCGTCTATATGTGGCTATACAGTTTCCAACCACCATTTACTGAATCAGGATTATTTTCCCTGGTGTATGGTCTGCTTTGTCAAAAATCAGAGGGCAATATGAGGATGGTTTTATACCCGGATTTTCTGTTATGATTCATTGAGATGTCTGTGTCTCTGTTCTTGTGCCAGCACCATGCTGTTTTGATTACTATAGCCTTGAAGTATGGCTTGAAGACTGATAAAGTGCTGACTCCTGATTTTCCTATTTGCTTAAGGTTGCTTTGGCTGTTTGGGCTCTTTTCTGGTTCCACATGAAGCATATAATTAATTTTTATAGATCTTTGAAAAATTCCATTGGTACTTTTAGGAGATTGCATTAAATTTATAGATAACTTTGAGCAGTACAGACATTTTTAACCATATTGATTCTGCTGATCCATGAGCATGATATATTTTTCCATTTCTTTACATCCTCTGTTGTTTCCCTCTTCAGTGACTTATAGATCTTCCTGCAGAGATCTTTTACCTCCTTGGGTAAATATGTTCCTAGGTATTTTATTTTATTTTCTACTATTGGAAAATGTATTGAGTTTTTAATTTGATCCTCAGCTTGACTGTTGTTGGTGACTAGGAATGGTATTGATTTGTAGACATTGATTTTTTTTATGTTGAGATTCTGCGGAATTTATTTATGGAATTTCAGGAGTCTCTTGGCAGAATATTTGGGGTTTTCTAGACATAAGATCATATCATCAGCAAAGATAGATAATTTGACCTTCTCTGTCCCCATCTTGATTTCCTTCTCTTACTGCTCTGGCTAGGACTTCTAGCACTATGTTGGATAGAAGTGGTGACAGTGGGCAACCTTCCCTAGTTCCAGATCTTAGTGGGAATTCTTTCAATTTTTTCCCATTCAGAATGATGTTGCCTTATCAGCATATGTTTGTCATATGTGGCTTTTATAATTTTGAGGTATGTTTCATCTACGCCTATTTTGTAAAGTGTTCTTATTGTAAAAGTGTACTGAATTTTGTCAATGTTTTCTCTGCATCTATTGAGATGATCATATGATCTTTGATTTTGCTTCTGTTATGTGGTTAACCACATTTATTGATTTGCATATTTTTAACCATCCTAGCATGCCTAAGATGAAGCCCACTAAGTTGTGGTGGATTTTTTTATGTGCTCCTGAATTCAATTTGCTAGAATTTTATTCAGAATTTTTTCTTCTATACTCATAAGGAGTATTGGTCTGTAGTTTACTTTTTTATTATATCCCTTCCTGGCTTTGGTATCAAGGTGATATTGACTTAGTAGAATGCATTGTGGAAAATTCCTTTCTTTATGATGTTATGAAACAATTTCTGCAATATAGCCACCAGTTTCCCTTCATAGGTCTGGTAAAATTTAGCTGTGAAACCCTCTGCCTAGGACTTGAGCATATTGTGGGGGTTTTTGTTGTTGTTATTGTTGTTTTTGTTTGTTTGTTTGGGTTTTTTTGTTGTTGTTCTTTCTAGTTTTTGGTCATTCTAGCCAGAGGTTTATCAATTTTGTTTACTTTTCCAGATAAACAAAACTTTTTCTTTCATTAATCTTCTATATAATTCTTTTTTTTATCAATTTTATTTAGTTCTGCTCTGAACTTAGTTATTTCTTTTCCTGTACTGGTTTGGGGATTGGTTTGCTCTTCCTCTTATAATTTATTGAGATGATTCATGAGATCATTGACTTGTGATGCTCTGGGTTGTTTTTTTTTTTTTAATGTAGGCATTTAGGGCTATGAATTTTCCTCTTAGGACTGCTTTTGCTGGATCTCACAAATTTTGATAACTTGTTTCCCCTTTGTCATTTAATTCAAAGAATTTCATGATTTCTATCTTAATTTCCTTTTCGACCTAGCAATCATTCAGCAGTAGATGTTTAAATTTCCAAGACTTTTTTTTAGAATTCAGTGTTTCTATTGGAGTTGACTTCTGGTTTTATTCTACTGTGATCTGAGAGGATACATGGTAAGATTTTTATTTTTTTTCAGTTGGTTGAGACATGGTTTATGACCTAGATGTGATCAATATTGGAGAATGTTCTATACACTGATTAGAATATGTATTCAGTAGTTTTGTGTAGGATATTCTATATATGTTTGTTGGGCCTACTTGCTCTAGAGTCTCATTTAAGTCCCATGTTTCCTTGTGTATTTTCTGCTTGGAGGACCTGTCTAGCTCTTTCAGAGGGTCGTTGAAGTCCTCAGCTATTACAATATTGAAGTTTATCACTTTGGTTAGGCCTAGTAACATTTACTTTATAAATCTGGGTGTACCTGTGTTAGATCATAAATCTTTAGAACACTTATGTCTTCTTGTTGAATTGTTTCCTTTACCATTATTTAGTGACCATTTTGTCTTTCTTTACGTTTTCTGTTTTCCTGGGGTTTTTTTTGTTTGTTTGTTTGTTTGTTTACAGAGTCTCACCTTATCACCCTCAGTAGAGTGCTGTAGCATCACAGCTCACAGCAATCTCCAACTTGTGGGCTTAGGTGGTTCTCCTGCCTCAGCCTCCCAAGTAGCTGGGACTACAGGTGCCCACCACAATGCCTGGCTATTTTTGTTGTAGTTTGGCCAGGGCTGGGTTTGAACCCACCACTCTCAGTGTATGGGGCCAGTGCTCCGCCCACTGAGCCACAGGTGCTGCCCATGTTTGTTGTTTTGAAGTCTGTGTTGTCTGATACGAGAATGTCTATCTCAGCTTTCTGTTGGTTTGCATTTACATGGAATATTGTTTTCCATCTATTCATCCTGAGTCTGAGTGAGTCTTTATTGGTTAAATATGCTTCCTAGAGACAGCAGATACTTGGCTTGTATCTTTTACTGATTCAGCCAGCCTATTGTCTTGAGTGGGAAGTTCAATCCATTCACATTTACTGAGAGAGCTGATAAATGGAGGTGAATTTCTATTCATCTTGTTGAGTAGAACTTCACTGTTTTTTTTTACCTCTTGAGCCATTGTGGTATCTGGGCTCTGAGCTTTCACTTATTTACTTATTGCAGTTTTTGGCTGGGGATGGGTTTGAACCCACCACCTCTGGCATATGGGGTCAGCGCCTTACTCCTCTGAACCACAGGTGCCATGCCTGGGCTCTTTACACTGGTGGGTAACTACTGTGCTGATCAGTGCATAATGCAGATCTGAGTACTTCCTACAGAGCATCC